TAGTTCTGAACCTCACACTTCAACCATTCCACTTGTCCTCTCCTCTTCTTCAGCTTTAAGCCAGGCAGCCTATACACAAGATATTTATGTTATTACTAATGAATGGAAAAAATAGAGAGTCCAAGCAAATGTAAAGAATGGTTGGCTTAATGCAGGTTATAACTTAGAAACACTCGTGGTCATTGTACTTTCAAAGACATTTCGTGTAACTCCACCAGCTTATCTAACCACAAAGCAAAAGCATGAGAACTGATACATTATGTCATATAGATCAAGTAAAATATTAACTTGCCTTGTCTCTTTCAAGCCTGGAGATGTGAGGGCGCATAGAGTTTCCTAGGCTCAGGCCTCCCCATGCTTTTTGCAACTCTCTCTCACGAGCCTGTTGACGAGAAACTGAATTTCTGATTTGATCATCGACACCATCCTTTTCTCTTTCGAGTCTGGAGACATGAGGGCGCATAGAGTTCCCTAAGCTCAAGCCTCCCCACGCTTCCTGCGACTCTCTCTCTCGAGCCAGTTGACGAGAAACTGAATGTGTGATTTGATCATCAACATTGTCGACACCATCCTTATCTCTTTCGAGTCTGGAGACATGAGGGCGCATAGAATTCCCCAAGCTCAAGCCTCCCCATGCTTCCTGCAATTCTCTCTCCCGAGCCTGTCGACGAGAAACTGAATGTATGATTTGATCATCGACATGGTCGACACCATACTTATCATCGACATGGTCGACACCATCCTTATCTCTTTCGAGTATGGAGACATGAGGGAGCATACAGTTCCCTAAGCTCAAGCCTCCCCATGCTTCTTGCGACTCTCTCTCCCGAGCCTGTCGACGAGAAACTGAATGACTGATTTGATCATCAACACTGTATTGCTCAGTAGCAGCCATCTTTTCCCTCTCAAGTCTTGACTTGTGCTTGACTAAAATTTGGTCCAAACTGCCTTCGCTACTCTCCATCTCTCTTTTGGTGTTTCTTCTCTTCCATTTCATCCCCGTTTGTTCCCCTTCACATATTCCCATCTTCTCCTTTTCCAGTCTCGTGACATGTTTTACTAGAACCTTGTCTAAACTTTCATAATCTGTGGCACCATTCCCTCCTTGTTTCCTTTGGTTAAGATTCATATTTTCTTTGCCTGCTAAATCTCCATCAGTACAAGATGAAATAATTTCCAAATCTGTT